GTTATTACTCTCCTCTAATATTCTATAGTGTTTCAGCGATTGATACTTGTTAAGAGAGGTACGGTATAACGGTTACTAAGCCACCAACGAGCTTGGAGCAGCTACCTCTCTATCTAGGTACGGAGACTAGTCCCGAATCAGAGATAGGAGAGGAAGAGGAGGAGGCAATTGCGGAGTGTAATCGAGGTAGCCGTCCGGAGCGATTTCCCTGCTTTGCCCATACTGCTCAACTTCCCCTGAAGGCCTTTTTCGACCGCCTAGGGCTTTGTCCTACGAACGACCTTTCCGAATTCTGGGATCACGACAAGGATAGAAAGATATTATAGAGAAGAAGAGTCTAGAGCAAGCAAATCAGCCGTCCTCAAGCTGATAGTATGCCCTATCTTCTTTTGAAGGTAAGATTAGTGTCTACGCCTAATAAACTATGAACCCTTCTACCTCGAAAGTATAGTCGACTCGCGTGGTCGGCAATTATGGTCGGCAGTTCGTTACTCCAGCTAATCTTGATCTCTAGATCCGGAAGCTTTGCGTCTTTATTAACTCGAGCTCCCAAAGGTTCGAACAGTTCATCGACCTCTAGAAAGAGATGCTTCAAAAGAAGCAGCTATTTGCAAAGCACCGTCGGTGGAAAGGCGTTCAAGATCGTATCCTAAGGGTCGTTCAAGACGTGAAGACAAGGTGGTCCTCAACAACGTTAATGCTCGATCGCTTTAGCAGACTCCAAGTGGTTATTGAATCTTATATCGAGCGACTTGACCTGGGTGAAGACATGGGCATCGATTCCGAAGAATGGCAAAGGGTAGAGTACCTTATCGACCTTACGAAACCATTTGCAGCGGCGACAGCGGTGATTGGAACTACGAAAGGTCCGACGATTCACCTTGTCCTCGCATACTACAACAAGCTTTTCGATATTCTAGAGGAGGCGATAAAGCGACTCAAGAATAAGCGGATACCCTGGAAGAAGGATGTCTTTCAGGCATGCGAGGCTGCTTAGGCTAAGCTAGAGAAATATTATCGAGATACCTGGGATCGATTTGGCGATTACTACGGTATTAGCGTCCTCCTTACCCCCTGCCTTAAGCGGAAGTTCTGGGTACGCGATGACTTTGGGGATGAAAGTTACCGCGCGTATTACGAGGGTAAGCTAAGGGCAGAGTGGGAGAAGAGCTATCGTTCATTATCGAGTACCTCTACCCAGCAGGGCCGTTTTGGAAGGAGTCGGCACAAAGGCTATATCGACTTTACTCTTGGTGGGAGTATAGAGTCTTCTCAAAGTCAAAGACGCAGCACTAACGAGGATGACGAGCTCGCCGACTATTTGGACGCTGATATGGATGAAGGGGATCTATTCGAGGTACTAAAGACGTGGTCTTCAATGGAGTCTAAGTACCCTACTCTCGCATTGATGGCGCGGGATATTCTCTGTATTCCTGCCGCCGGAGTTGGGTGTGAGCGCGATTTCAGTATCGCTCGACACCAAAGTCGTTTCAATCGCCAATACACCGCAGCAACATTCTCTGGATTGATGGTATCTCGTTTTCGCTATCGGGACGATGAGTACGATGCTAGAGTTCTTATCGCCCAGGAGGCTACAGAGGTTTCCCAAGCGCTTCTTAGTACTCTAACTTCATAGGAGATCCTTAGTGAAGACCGAGAGCAGACGAAAGATCTTATAGAACGGATCAGTGACTTAGATGCGATTAGCGATGACGAGGGTAATGTAGTAGAGGAGCCAAGGCGATCAGTACGCCTAAGCTTCAAGCTTGCGCAAGAGTGCCTCCGGGATGCTACGAGACGATTATAGGGAGATTGCTTTAAGCTTGTATGAAGTTTACCTGCCGACCATATTTGCCGACCATATTTCTCAAGATTCAAAATATTACAACTTGTAGCATAGCGTATATATAATCCTGAGCTTCTTCATTCAATTTAACTATAATCTTCACTTTCGTATCTATATCGGGTTTATATACAGTTTCTTTTCTTATGCCTAGTCCAAATAAATCGCTTCTTCGCTCTCGTTAGGGCACCCGGTTTCTGGGTTTTTTATTTCTATATACGAAGATTCAATACCCAATGGGTACGCAATACCCACTGGGTATCGCAATACCCACTGGGTTTGTACCCAACCCGATAGGTTGGGTATACCCAGCTAAATACCCATACCCATTGGGTATTGCCAATACCCAACCCACCCCACATACCCACCAGGGTGGGTTGTACCCATGATGAGGCCTAGTTTAGGCTAGACCTTTACCGCTAATACCGAGTTAAGATAGTTTATAAAGAGTTAGAGTAGGAGATTTTAGATCGAGATATTCTAAATCAGACCCGAGAGGCTAGAGCCTCTAGGTACTCCGAAGTTATACTTATAAACAGAGGGAGAAGACGTATTCCTACTCTTCTCCTAAGCGATTCGAGTAGTATATTCCTATTAGATACTTTAGCCTATATATCTTATCCTTTTATATACGAATCGCTTCTTTATTATACAACGAAGTATCTCTAACTATAGGTTTAAAGAATACGATACGCTTAGGATCGAGTATCTAGGATTCGGTAGCGACTAGTACCCTAACGGAAGTAGATATCGTACCTTAGCTAGAAGCCGAAGAGACAGAGACTGCTAAGGCCTAGTAACTCCTTCGAGTAAGCTAGGCTAGAGAGGAACGTACTAAGTTACTTTAGTAACTTAAACAATCCGATATAACAATCCAATCTCTAACCGGAGTCCTCCTAACTAATAGATACGACCCTATCCTAGGCTATCCCGGCCTATCTCTAGCCTAATTTATTCCTAAACTACGGAACCCCTATATATTTGAAGGAAAGAACAGACGCGACTAGATCGAATAGCGAGACGACTACGAACGAATCTTCCGAAGGGCCTTAGGCTACTATATAGACGCCTAAACTAAGATTGAACTTAGAGAAGAATAGATAGTAACCGAACAAAGATCCTAGTAGAACCGGTTTATAGACTTACTCCGATCCTAACCGGCCTATAACGCCCTATCTTAGTCCGACTTTAAGGAATATATACTTAATACGATAGGTATACCCTAGGAAAGGCGACAAATTGCCTATAACGCGATCAAATCTATCGAATAGAACCTTCGAACCCTAACGGAGCTCTTAATAGACCTAAAGGAATACTAGGACGAGCTTAGAACGGAGGACGAATAAACTAAGATTATAGAGTTCAAAAGCGCCCTAGATAGAAGGATTAAGTATCGGATTAATATTAATCTTACTACCTTTACTACCGTTACGGCCCTAGAGAAAGTAGCAAATATCTACTAGAGGGCTATCTAGGCCGAAAGGGATTATCGCTAGAAGGACAAACGCGACAATAAACGCGGACGGTCCGATACTACTAGCGAAGCCGCTATCTACGCGAAAAGGTCCTAAAGCTACTTCAAAGCGAGCTAACCCCCGTCGATAGGACGACTAAATCGACCTAGAGATACTAGACCTCTATCTAGGTACTACGGATACGGCGAGACGGGCTATAAACGCCTAGAATGCCCTAATAAGGCGGCTTAGGAGAATAAGGGGTCCCTAAAAGCTAGCCCCGCCCCCTAGTACTCTAGGTAGCGGGATAAGTAATATATACCGAGGAGCAACGACGATCGGCAGAGCTGTACGGCCGTTAGGCTACGAAGCTAGAGCTATATAATTTGATTAGGGTTAAAGTAACCCTAGAAGGACCGATAGGGCGGCGAAACATCTACGCTCTAGTAGACTATAGTACCTAGATAAACTTTCTAGACGGGGTAGTAGCTAAAGAAATAGGCTATACTCTAGAACGAAGGGCTTCGGTAAGGTACGAGACCTTGAATAGCTAAGCCCTCGTAGTCTTAGGATATATAAAGGTCCCTTTTGAAGTTTCGGCTAGTAATAGGTCGAAACGGGGCGGAACTATCTATATCGCCGTTAGGAGAATCTACGGGTTCGAGATAATCCTCGGTATACCGTAGCTAGAATAATAGAACCCCTCGGTAAACTTCTTAACTAAGATACTAGCTTAGAAGAAGAAAACTAGACGTAAATAGTCTAAAGTAGCGATAATCGGCCTAGAACGGATACGCGCTAAGCTCGTAGACCCTAGTACGGTCCTTTACGTAATGTCCTTATTACTTATTAACGGGACTAACAAAGACCTAGAAGGGCTCCCCGAGGTATACCGATAGTACGTATCTATATTCTCTAGTTAGGATACCTCTATTCTAGCCGATTACGGGCTATTTAAGCTCGGAATTGAACTAGAGGAAGGCAAGATACCCCTATAGGGCCCTCTTTACAACCTTTCCGAGATAGAGTTAGAGGTTCTCCGAAACTACCTTAAAGAATACTTAGACTAGGGCTGGATTAGGCCCTCTCGCTCCCCTACCGGCGTAGGTATCCTCTTTACAAAGAAGAAGGACGGAGGTCTTAGGCTCTACGTCGATTATCGTAGACTAAACGCTATAACGGTAAAAAACCGATACCCCTTGCTATTAATCTAAGAATCCCTAGACTAGTTATCTAGAGCAAAGATCTTTACTAAGCTCGATATAAGAGACGCGTACTACCGACTTAGAATTAAAGAGAGTAACGAGTAGAAGACTATATTCCGGACTAGATATAGCTACTTCGAGTATACCGTTATACCTTTCGGGCTTACTAATACCCCGGGTACGTTCTAAGGGTATATAAATAATGTATTAAAGGACCTAATCGATATTATCTGCGTAGTATACCTCGACGACATCCTTATCTACTCCTAGAATAAATAGGATTATATCCGAGACGTAGCAACGGTCCTCGAACGGCTATAGAATGCTAAGCTCTACGCTAAGATAACTAAGTGTAACTTCTATAGGGACTAAGTTAGTTTCTTAGGGTACCTAGTTAGCCTAAGAGGGGTCGAGATAGAGCTAGAACGGGTCGCTACGGTCCGGGATTAGCTAGAACTAGAGTCTATAAGAGATATTCGGATCTTTATTAGGTTTGCTAATTACTACCGACGATTTATATAGTACTTCTCCCGAATCGTAGCCCCCCTAAATCGGTTGACGGAAAGAAAGGGCGATACGGCAAAGGGGGGACAGAAGCAACGGAATAAAGAGTCTATAAAGATTAATCTACCTCCTAAGGCTAAGTAATCGTTCCTAGAGTTAAAGCAAGCTTTCTGCTTAGCGCCTATTCTAAAGCATTTCGACCTATTATAGGCTATCTAGGTAGAAACGGACGTATCGGGCTATATAATCTCGGGCGTTATAATATAGTAATACGAGTTCTAGAGCAAGATACAATAGTTCCCGGTAGCCTTCTTCTCTCGTAAGATAGTCGCGGCAGAAAAGAACTATAATACCTATAATAGGGAACTCCTTGCTATCGTAGAATGTTTCAAAGCCTAGAGACATTACTTAGAGGGCGCGTAGCACTAAGTTAAGTTAATAACCGACTACTACAACCTATAATAGTTTATAATAACTAAGACCCTCTCCCGGAGATAGGTAAGATAGGCGGAATAGCTCGCTACTATAGACTTTAGGGTAGTCTATAGGGCAGAGAGCCTTAACGGGGCAGCGGACGGCGTAAGTAGACGTCTAGACTATATAGACCCCGACTATTCCGGCCGCTAGCTAAACTAGGAGGACTCCTCCGTTATATTGAAAATACTATAGTAACAGATTAACCCGGAAGGGCCTACTACCGGCTAAGGTAGCCCGGTACGGGCTATAATAGTAGTAAGAGAGGCAGCTAGCAATACCTCGGGTTACCGCTACGACCTATAAGTAGAGATAAACTAGAGCCTAGTTAAGAGGATCCGAGAAGATACTACTACAGACGAAACGGTAGAAAAGGTCTCGAAGGCTAAAACTCTAGATCCTCTACTAATATAGACTTAAAGATAGACGTACGAGGACGGCCTATAGAGCTAGAACGACCGTATCTTTGTCCTAGAAGGACTATTAAGGCTCGAGATACTCCGAGAATACTACGATA